ACCGCGAAAGATCTTCCCGTTCTTTTTTTGCCGTGCGAATCGCAGCACGCCACGCGAGGCCGCTGCTCTTTTTTCCATTTTTTTGCGCAAGCTCCTTTCAGCCTCGGCTTCGAAGAAAGGAGCTTCCGCTTGAATCGCGCCGTTGTGTCGTGCGACACGCGAGCCGCGCCTACATCACCGTCCGCGCGCGCGACTGGGTTCAAGTTTGGACTATTCTTTTCGTCGCGATTGAAAGGAGATCAATATTAATCCTGCGAAATCGGATAACGAACTCGGTTTTACCGGAAGAGATCGACAATATCGATCGGCAATCGGCACTTTCATCCCCAATTAGGGCTGCGTTTTGTATTAATTATGTAATTGCAGCCGTCCGATTTTGTTTGTGATTATACAAGCGTCGCGTTTCAGTCAGTGTGAATACGGTATTAGAATACGTCGATATTGTTTAATTTAATTTATACACTAAAGCGGCAAGGACAGCATCGATGATAGCCGAGTGAGAACAGTTTTTTATTGCAAATTACTGTAACGTTGAATATTTCACGCGAAACGAGACGGTCACATTTAGCAAATGTACTATTGAGATATCTTATCTTTATATCCACTTTAAACTACAATACCGAGGTATAATGGCATTAGCTTTCACTTTCGTTAATATTTTCGATCAATCGATCGATAATTTTCTAGTAGTGCCGAACGGACCTTAGATATCAATTTTTACATTAATGCGCTTGTAAACGAATACACTTGTTTAAATATCGCGTACTTTCTCCAACTATATACAGACATTTTGACCACAATAGCGTCCATTTTCGTTCCCAACGTTCTCACACTTCTCACAGAGAATCTACTCACATATTTTCGTAATTATTAGCAATTATCAGAACACTTGAAATTATTTGTAGGAGTAGGTTTACATATTAATGTCAATTTAAAAAAAATTGCAAATGATATTTACGTAAACGTTTCTGACATTTGAAACAAATGCAAAAAAATCTCTTCTGAAATTTCTACTTTTATCTAGTATTCAAGATATAGTTTTATTGTTAAATCTTTAATTGTGTTACCAAACGATCCTGAAATTTGAATTTCATGCGGATATATAGTTCACATTGAGTGAAAAATTATAATTTACGAAAAGAATTAAAATAAGATTTTTTAATTTATAGTCGCCAACACACTTAATTCTGTGCTGCTCCATTTATTTTATAACTATCAAACGCATGTTTTATAATAAAATCTAATTGAAAGAATTCTGAAATTGTTCTTTCGAAAGATCGCGCGATATTTAGTATACGTTTAGAAAAAAAGATGCTCTAATTAATCAGATAATACCGTTTTTTTCTGGTTGAAATACGAAAACGGTAACTGCCGCGATATATGCAATCCGCCATTCAGCAGACGTAATCTTGTCAAACATTGATACAGCCATGCGGTCGACGTGTCTTATAGAGACCAGACGATTTAACGAGACTTTTCAGGCAAAAAGCTCGCTCGTTGAATCATAATGTCGGATAATGCGGCGAGAATGAATCACCGACCCGACGAGCGCGAAGGAAATATTTACTTCCGCGAGAAACACGCACGCGCTTCAAACTTTGGCAGAGCGAAAATTTTATTTTGTCATCCGACATCGTTCCCTATCGTCGATGATAAAGGCGATATCTGGTCTATTCCAACAACATTAAAATCGCTTCAACCGCTAATCGGACGAAAATGATGAATTAGCAAAATTGCCGTAAAAGAAATTGTTATTACAGACAAGAACAAGTTGAACGTTTTGAAGACGGCAATCCCTAGAATCGCAACAACGAACAGGCGATTCGACTCAATGTCGAGAGAACTATATACATGTGCGAATTTAATTAGAAATTATTGCGCAAAAAACATTAAGGCCTGATTGTTCCAACCTGTTTTGTTTATCCTTTACATTAGACAAAGATGGACACATGATTTAACTATTAGTTAGCTTACCAACAGGTTGGAACAACCGGCCCTAAGATATAACAATTTATTTCGCAAATATTTTATCGATAATAAATATTACCTTCAACTGAAAGAGAGAGAGAGAGAGAGAGAGGGGGGAGAAGAGAGAAGCTTTTTAATAATATAGCAGTCATTGTGATTCTGATTCGAGATAAACCGCATTGTGATTCTAGGATTAAAATACAAATAACAAATATTTGTACTCAAGAGTAATTATAAACTACCCCTCTCGTCGTTGTCCCCATACATTTGTTATCGTTACGTCGCTTCCATTTTCTTTCTTTTTTCTTAATTTCGTAATTGTCCCGTCACTTTTTATCTAAAATTAATAGACAAAATGCAGCCTATATAGATCCCCGCCGTTCGCACATGCCGAAGCTTTTCGATTTATCTTTAAAGATATCGTCCAAGTATACCTGAATTAAAAGGGGTGCTATACGGTACATCCCCTTCTCTCATCCGATGGAGTCCGAACCGAACTTTTCGCTGCGCGATGTTTCAAGCCTCTGTCGGACATTGCGCAGAAATCGACCTAATCGATACCTCGTGCGGCGGTAGGAAGAGTCCCGCCGTTCTCTACCAGAGACACGTTCGAAGTATGTCCTCGAATATTCCTTTAAAGCGACAGTTTACTCAGAAAGGAAGACGGCGAGGCGAAGGAGAACAGCTCGAGAGCCCGAAACGTTTTCGTGATTTAAACGCGGAATAAAGGGAACAGGCGGGAGGAGAGGAGGATTGTTGGGATGCTGTCAATTTTGAAAAATTGCGCATCTCGCTTATAATGGCCGCCATTAGCTTCATCCGTGACGATGACGAACCGTATCTCTTCGGCCACGAATACGAGGCGACTCGCGGTCCCAGTTTGCGTTAATGTACAGAAATCTAAACAATCTAGCCGTGTACTTCGCTCGTTCTATCACGAAATTATTTAACGGCTCGATTAACCCTACGAACAGAAAAAAAAGTATATAAGCGTGACTGGTTGTAACGATCGGGTCGCGAGTCACGTGAGATAATGGACCGCGATAGATATATATCGGTACAGCGGAATCGTGAGACAGCCGGAGAGACAAACGAGAGGAAGAGAAAGAGAGAGTATCGCGGTGAGAGGATATCGCGAGCTGCAGTCGAGCGGACACGGGCATAGCGTGCCATGGACACGACATAGATACCGGCCTTTGGTTACCGCTCATCGGGTAGCATCACGGCAGCGAACAGATTAACGGAGAGAAAGAGCTAGAGTTGAAAGAGAGAGAGAGAGAGAGAGAGAGAGAGAGAGAGAGAGAGAGAGAGAAAGAGAGGGAGAGGGGAGAGGGAAAAGAGCGCGGGAGAGGGGCGAGAGGGAGAGAAACGATGGAAAATATGTCGGCGAAGACGAGTGGGCGAATACGACGATATATCGGCGGCAACGGAGAGAGAGAAAGAGAGGAGAGACAAGACAAAGGAACAACGAAGGGCAACCGGAGGCGTACAAAGGAGGGTAGCAGGAAGAAGGAAGGTGCAGGAGCGACGGAGGCGGAGGAGAGACGGAGGAGAGGCGGTGAGAAAGAGAAGAAAAGAGAGCGGGAGAAAGAGATAACGCGGCGACGGTAGGAGGAGAGCAACTCGGTGGTGGTGGACGGCTACGAGGCGGAGGAGAAGGATGCGTGGAGTCGCGGAGGATAGGCAGGAGAGAGGATAGGCACACGCGCGCGAATCGATTAGGTGCGCGTCGGCCATTTTGTTGCCGGCTCACCGGGAGGCCGCGGAGGCGTGGATCCCGGACGGCGTCGACTCCGCCGCGAGGACGAATCGTTCGCTGTCGCGCGCCGCTCTCTCGCGTTCGATAGGAACGCCCGAAGGTGGTAGGGAAAGTTATAGAGATCCACCAGCGCGGCCCAAGTGGGGATCGGGGAACGCGGGACTGACAATGGGAGCGAGCGAGAGGGTGGAAGAGCGAGAGAGCGACGGAAGCGGACAGTGGGGACGGAGGATCCGGCAGTGGGGTCCGGTTTAGGTTGGGTCAGATCCTCGAGCAGACTATAGCGAGACGCCTAACTGGCAGTCAGTGGCTCCCGGGGCCCCGCGTCGTCAGTCTCGTCGGGGTAGTTTCGTGCAACCGTGCCGTCTCTCTTCTCCTTTCTTTCTCTTTCTCTCTCCTCTCTCTCTTTCTCTCTCTTTCTCCCTCTCTCCCTTTCCGTCTATCTTTCTCTCGATGCCTGCCCTTTCTTTCTTTCTTCTCACCTGCTCCCCTCCCGTCCCACCGTCCCGTTGTCCCCTTCCTTCCTTTTCCGTCTCTACCTTTCTCCGAACGTCACGTCCAGCTTCTGTCACAATAAACGTTTCTTTCGCTTGTCCTTGCCGCTGTCTGTTATCGTTCAACTCGTCTCCTCGAGGACGTCAATAACGGGAATATTCGTCGCTATACGTTGCCCCGCGCTGCTGATGAGTGAGAACGTAATCGTGTCGCGATCCCGGTGATCGTGAATCGAGAAATCGGCAAGTCGCCGATTTCGAAGCCAGTTGCTCTGGCAAGAACGGCGAAACCGACCGGGGAGATCAAGAATGTTGTTGATGAAGTTTTGCGTCATCGTCGATCGTGTCTACAATCGTACTCGCGTTTGACAATCACGAGAAATCTCTCGCCGAACTCGTAAGATAAGTTTCGCGATATTCGGTGAGTGCGTATCGTATCGCGAGATAGTGCGGCGATTCGACGAAAATCCCGAGGAGGAATTGGAACGGAAGAATCGAGCGAGGAGTCGCGAACCCGGCGAGAGAGAGAGAGAGAGAGAGGGAGGATTCAGTTGGAAGAGAGGAGAGAGTGAACCCGGGTGAACTGAGGGAACTCTCGACGAAGCGAGAGATCGTGAAAGTGTTGATCGAACTGGACAGGCTAACGACACAAAGCCGGAATAACAGATACATTGGAACGCCAGTTACACCCGGTCGAGACTAATTTAACTCCAAAATTTAAAATTTGAAATTTCTGTGAAACTCAGTTTCAACTTAAAGTTTGCTTACTGAACGTTTCGATGAAATACAATAATGTAAGAGAATCCCGACGGGGTACATCGATATCGTGTGGTTCATTAAACAAAAGCTCCCCGCATGGTTCTCCGCTTTTTAAACGCGTGAGAATTGAGTTTTAATTTACTTGAAATACGGAAAAGCCAGCAGAAAAACCCAAAGCGACCCTTACGCATCGTATGTTTTCCTTGTCGGTGCCGATTCGACTCTCGGTGAGCCTCTCGTGACACGTCTCGAAGGTAGCAGAGACACGCCGGGCGGAAGTTTCACGAGTTTAAAGGGTACGGCCGGTGGTCGGCGTACGAAGGCTTCAAGATTGCTCGAAAACCGTCGCGCGAGGTGCGCAGGAGTGGCAGAGCTGCGGAAATAGGGGCTGCCGGCGTAATGCAGCGGGTGGGCGCAGCCGGGGGGGCCCGGGCCCATCGGCTTTCAGGGCCCTCCGAGATCGCTGAAAATTTCACCGGTCAATATACAGGACGAGCCTGCCGATCCCACGCAGAGTGAGTATCTCAGCCTTTTCTTTCTTTCGTTTTTCACGCAGATTTAAGATATGTTAACGAGTTAGCTCCCTCTCGAGAGTGAAACGCAACTCTTAAGGACTTTACAAAGAGCAATACCTCATCAATTTTCTCTGCTTTCTATTTCATAGAGTTGACCAGTCTCACTACAGTAGACGTCTTGAGCCCTAAACCTTAAGAAATTGATCAATCACGGTCAAATTTGAAGAGAATAATCGACTATGATTGGTCAATTTCTTACGGCTTAAAGCGTAAAACATCTATGGTAAACCGGGACTTACATGATAATAAATGATCTGAAGAAGAAGTTTCACGACGCGTAGGAACCAGTTAACCATCGTTTTGCTCATAAGCCTAATAAAGACATAAAATCTGTGCGAAGTAAGGTAGAGACGCTACTAGATGTGCACAATAATTATATGACATTGATCACAAGATATGATATTTTCCGTTTCCCACCGAGCTTATGCAACGAATTGTTCTAATTTTCGTCCAGCAAGTGACTGAACTTTGTCGTGAGTGTCTCGATTGATCCTACATTGCAGATAATCTTGTTCGATTGATCCCTTTTTTAACGATAATGGTTTTTGTCTATCAATTAACGACGATTTGCATGGCTCGTTACACCGTTGCTGTTTAAACGTTTAAAAAACCCCCAATCACTCGACAATTTGCTTAACGTGTCACTTCGTTGCGCACACGTCGCGTAATTAGATGGCCAAATAATCATCCTCTCGTATTCATTATTTTACCGCGTCCACGCTGGGTCAGCGTAAATCAGAGGACAAACACAATAAACATGGGCGATATACGTCCGTTGATATATACACATATATTATTATTTATACAGTTCTAAATTGTAAATATGAACCATGTTTCTTCAAATATCTTTAAACTTTGTGGTTCGAGTAATCGCGGAATCGAAGTCACAAACGAAACGAATCGAAATCAATCAATTTTCGCCTATGCTTGGGAACGAACCTTCGGTTCAGAATGAACAATGTAGTTGTTTTTACGATATAATCTTGTCGGAGCCATCGTGCGACGTGGAGCGTCGTATATTCGTTTGTAACTCCGGCTTCTGCTTCCAAATCACTTTCTTAGAGTCTTCGAGCATTCGTGCGGTTATCAAGCGGTATCCGAGTAACGCTTAATAATAACGCGCGACAATTTTACGACTATCTTTTACTAAATAGTAGATGCCTCTCAGGTTTAAAATCGTACAGAAAAGAGATCCAGTGGCAACGACATATATGCGTCTCGAATGGTTAGATCGAGCGTTTAACGCGAACTGGACGTATACAAACGACGCTAAATTATTACACCATAGCGACACACAGCATCTCGGATACTTTGGTCCGAGCGCGTAAAGCATGCGAAACAGCTTCTCGCGGCGCGACACGTCGTCGTTACAATGCCGTTGGCATTGAAATTACCGGGAAGTCGTCGTACGCGTGTCTAGTCATCGCAGGTGAATAAAATCTTTTTGTCGCATGATAAGCCGGCAGTTAAAGTCTGCGTGATTTATGGGCGACGACGCGCGTTGCGGCGCAAATCATAAAAAAAGATCGCGCTCAACCTTCGCGAGAGAAAAAAAAGAAAGAAAGAAAGAAAAAAATTTGCTGGTCTCGGATCCCGCGGATGCTTTTCGAGCAATTTACAGTTAATGAAGTGCACTTGTGGTAAATAAACCTTGGAACGTCGTCCATTACCGAAGACGCGTTATCGTCCACGTATTTTCCGACGTAATATTGACGGTAAATCAAGGATAAACAGTCGCAAAAGCGGCAGAAGAAAAGGGTGAAACGAAACGTGAAACCTGTTAATGGGCCTGGTGGAAATGCGCGATCGAGATCAATCGTTAATTATCTCGCTGCTTAAAGACGATTATAGAAATGCCACAACATGTCTAAGAGAACTTTGGACGTTTCTAGCACATGTACGTATACATATATATGTATGTCGACGCTATTCGTCTCTTTAAAATACTCATCGTTAATTTGGCAAAAACCTTCGTCGACATGCAGTATACGCTAATACGCTGCGTCAAGTCGCGTGCATAACGAACGATAATGTTAATCCAAGATGTAAATTACCGCGGCAAGTCGCGACACTTGTTTAGCAGCGAACGCGAGATTCTATCGTTTAATATATTTCTGTCGGAAAAGCTTGTCGTAATGTCTGACGACGACAAACGCTGCGGTTCTAAATTTTGTGATAATGATAAAATTAAAAAATTAATCCGCGATCATATTATCTACCGAATTCTGCATGGCATTCAGAGAAATATCGTCATACTACATGTCGAACATTACATCCAAATTACATTCTTCATGTAACCTCATTCTATACAGAGATGGCAGAGAGAGGGAAGGGCAGAGAAAGGCAGAAATATCGCTAGTTATTGAGCGTTTCTAGGATAGCGTCCTCTCAAGCGCGGAAATATTAAATTCATTGTTCTCAGCATGTCGCGCTACATTTAGAAACCAAGCTGATTATAAGAATGATGAAAACTTGCAAAAGGAAAAGATTAATTTAAGCAATTTAATAGATACATGCGCAATACAATAAATGTGTGAGAGAAAGTGACGGAGAAAGAAGAGAGAGAAAGAGAGCTTAATTCTCATTTCACCGATACATAACATCGCGACGATTCGCGATCTTGGGTGTAAAATTGGTGTTTATACTACTGGATTCGGAATAGGAACGTGTCTGATAATACGTTACACAACCCGAGGAGCTTACCGTTGTACAGCGGAGTCAATGACGCCGCTCATGCAGGAGCTCGGCCGAGCGTTTTCCACGTGCAACCGGCGCTCGTGTGCTCATTTATTATTAACGCGAGTTATCGCATTTTCATAATCGGATACATGGAATATTCAACGGCGCGAAACGATTCGCCGATGATTTTCTGTAATTAAATGTTACAGTGTTGCGTTTAACACGTGTTTTTCGCGCGCGCGCTTTGCTCGTGCGAGCGCGTACGTGCGATCCAACGAAGTCGCAATTATCGCGGGGGCAACATTAATATCAACCGTGTTTATCGCTTATAATTATTGCGGCGCTATATTATTCGCGAGTAAGAATGGCGAGTGCGCGAGCGCGTCAACGATAAAATCGCGGATCTTTAATTTATGCTTGCGATTAATTCGATAATGTGTTCAATGAGGCAGATGAATAATTAAGTCGATGACCGCGATGCAGGCACTGTCGCATGCCGAAAACAAAGAATAATTAAATTAACGTGGAATTGCGCGATCGTAGTAATGCGAGCTCGCGGTATAATCACGACGCGAGTTCGATTTTCGATGCGGTATGAAAAAAGGATATCGATGTGAAGAAAAATCCGTATTCCGATACCTCTTTTGGCGAATAGGCATAGTTCGTTAATCGAAACATCTACGAAACTTTGGCAAAATTTAATATCTAGTGGATATTGTTTACTAGACATCTCGGTGATAACTATCTGCGCCATGATAATAAATAAGTTCAGATAATTCGATTTTTTTATTATGCAAAGAGTACTCGGTTTTACACTTTGGATGAGTTTGATTATCGGCTAGCGCAATTAGGTGACTGTGTTCGAAATTCCAGCGACTATTTGAAGCATCTAGATTCTACACGATTAATTTACCCGGAATTCCGCGAATTTGTTCGATTCATTTATTTCTATCTAACCGCGGGACGTGTACTTCGATTTAGTCACGCGATCGAAAATAATTAGCTCGGCCGGTTTTGCTCCACGCGCGCACTAGCTCTCCGCGTTTTGATAATGACCGCTTTCGGTAATCAAAACAGAGTAGAGAATGTTACATCAAAGTCATTTCCGAAGAATGTGAAACGTTTTCCCTTACATTCATATAAATCATATTTAAGTAATTTCAAATGTAAGTAGATCACGTTTTTTGTTGTAGAAGCCATACCGTATGAAAAACATAATAAATAAGACAGTATATAATGAACAATGTTATACACACGACATTATGCGCTTATAAAATACGTGCAAGTATATGCTGCATGATCATGTTAATTGCTCTTTCAACTTCTCTAGTTGAGAATTGCGTTGCAGCATGATGCATCAGTTTCGTCTGCTACATTTACGATCGACGGATTTTCAGAGCGAGAAGAGTTCGCTCGAAAACTGAGAAAAATTCACTCGCGTTACTTATACCACGGCCGCAGTCGGGGAGATGCAAAAACCCGTCGATCTTCCACTCTCGCCTTCCCTCCTCGCGTGTCCCGCGGCGAGATACAGTTTACGTCGGTTTTAATTAACGGCTCATACATTTGCATGATTAGACTCTGAAACAGAGTTACGCGGTATCAGCATTCCGTGCATGGAAAACGACTGCGACGTTAACGCCGGGATTCCTCGCTCGCCGGCGCACATAACTCTGCCCCGCGACGTTAAACATTTAAATATCCGTCCTCCTCTTTTTTTTCTTCCATCTTTGAGACGCGCGCGTGCGCTCGCATCTACATATCGCCGATTTATAATATTCTTAATGTACAATGTGAGTCGCGCGGAGCAGATTCTAACGCAACTAGGCCAAACGTGCGCGATGTAATGTGCTATATACTTTGTGTATCTGGCGATTTCTTTCCTGACAATGCGTCACGAAACAATGACCATTTCGACCGGTAGATATCTCCGAAAATGCATAGAATTCTGTTTTCGAGATCCAAACCACTGACAGGTTCTGAAAATATTTTAGATATTTCTCTGAATGTAGGGTGAAAAGGGATTATATTTAACACAAGAAAAAAAATTAGTTTTGTCGAGTGGGAAGAACTTTATGCTAGGTGAGAGGCTACAGGAGTGTAATAAAATTTCGTAAGAATTTTTAAGCTGAATAGGTTCAGTCATAAAAAAATAGTGGGACTTAGTTCGTAAAGAGCTTAACATATTCGTGACAGCAGTACGTCTTTCCGCGAATTAAATTTTGTTCTGGCGACATAGTACTATGTTTTTTGTATGACAG